TAAAGGTGTACAAATGTCCCGAGCGACATTTTGGAAGTGCCCATATATTCTTGATCATTACCAATAGCCGAGTCCATCGGCCATGTCCGTCTGTCCGTTTCTTTGCGAACTAGTCTCTCAGTTGAATAAGTGTGGGAAATCTCAACCTTCTAGCTTTTGTAGTTTCCGAGATCTCTGCGTTCATACGGACAGACAGACAGACGGACAGACGAACATGGCTATATCAACTCGGCTAGTGACCCTGATCAAGAATATATATGCTTTATAGGGTCGAAAACTTTTCCTTTCTCCCTGATTCATACTTTTGCGCGAATACAATATACCCTTTTACTCTACGATTAACGGGTATAAAAATTCGTTGTAGTGGAGAAGGGGGCTCCAATACTACAAGGGGCACAATAGTATGTGGCACTAGCGGCCAAACGGCTCGTTTAAATTGCGCGCCGTGTTTACTGAAGTCTCATTAGAACATCAGAGGGCTGCATTAAAAATTTGAGCCTGATTCGCCATCAGTTGAAGAAATTACGATCCAATTTTCGCCAATGCACACTGGGCCAGCCAATCAGATTTTTGGCCAAAAATACGTTTTTCTTTTTTAAGAAAATGACCAAATTGAGTTTGGGATCCTTTTTATAATACATTAAACTAATTTATGCCAAAGTTTCAAAGAATTCGGGCAAGTAGTTTTCTTTTACCATATTTTCAAAGTGAAAAATTCAAAAAATATTGATGGAAATGAAAAAAAATTTAGAAGTCAAAGATGCTGATGTTGCTGTTCGACTTCTTTCCGATACTTGCAGAAGGGATTATTTGCATTATGTTGCATTAACTTGTTTGCTAAAATAAATGTAATTGTTAATTTTTACGCTTTTTTTCAGCAAATGAGTACTTTGCTTTTCGAGTGCCTTCGAGTGCCATCCCCAAATTAGTTCATTCCTTCAAAAAAAAATTCGTTGATCAATTTACTAAAAGCGTAGTTTCGATTTTCGGTTTTTGCCTTAGTTTTCGGTAATTTAAGTTTTAATTGAAGGCTTAACTCGAAGTCGAGCTATTTTGAAGAGCTTAGCTATGAGAGCCCAAGAGTATGCCATACTTTATTTCTTCAGGTTTTGGTGAACATTTTGCGCTCAAAAATTTGATTTTAGTGTGACTAACATCTAAAATCTACTTTTTACGTACACTAATCGATTATGGTATTTTCCAAACCTATATCTATCTATTTAATCAGGACTATGCAAATAAAAATGTAGCATACTTTTGTGATGACTTCAGAATATGGCAAATTAACATTAAACAAATCAAAAAACAATATTTTTAAACCATTTTTTTTACATAATTTGATTATATAAAACTTAAAAGGTAACAAGAACAAAAAAATAGAAATTTTTTTTAAATCGATTGTTTGATAAACGTTGATGTGGGAGCCTCCGAAAGTTTCACTTTTTAACGGTTCATAAATCTTAAATGACATAATATTTTTTAGTGATGTTAATTTTTTTTAGTTTGTTTTATCTCATACTTTATTGTTTTCGAAAATGGAAAAAGTGCGTCTTCTAGTTATTTTTTTAAAAATAAAAAACCGAAAAGTACGTAAAATTTTCTGACTTTCAATTTTCCAAGAAATTTTACTTTTAGTTCGTTGGAAAGTTCAATCTTTTAAGAAAAAAACGCAAAAAACTGCATCCTTCTAACTGTCCTAGAAAAGAAATTACAGATTTTTGGCCAAAAAATTAACTTTCTGGCCCAGTGTGCAATGTCAAATTCCTGAAAATCGTTTACTCTGTTCGGCACACTTAATTAGACATTGGTCGCTCGCGAGATTTTTTAAAAAAATTATTTTCTAAAGGCAAATTTTTCAATCTTTGTGGTATTTAGACAAACTTTAAAAATTCCGTTTAAGGGTGAAAATGGTTGAGGGTACTATATGATAACACATGGTCTTTAATTTATTTCTTATGACTTCTGCATGGTCGCGCTCATGATCGAATTTGTAAGCGAGAGTTTGATGAGCCAGCTTGCAGTCACTCTGAGCAAAATCGCCAAAGTAGCGGTTAGGGCGGCAAAACAAAAATTTGACAGCGCTGAAGGAAGAAAAATAATAAACTTACAAAAATATGGACCTCCGCGTCAAACAGCTGTAACTGCATTTTAAATAGCAAAGAATGGATAGAAAAAAGAAATATACTCCATTTTATATCGAAGTATTAGTGTCCAAAGAGTCTAATATAATGTTATGAAAATTATTTTTTTTACCCCATACCCTTTACCGTTAACAGCGAAAGTAATTTTCGTACTGTTATTACCCCAGAACTGGGGCTAGACTGGTTTAAAAAGTGTGTTGACATTTTGCAAGACTTTGCAATTTACTTTAAAATGATGTTGGAAAAAGTTATAACCCAAAGAACAACCTTTCCGATGACACCAGTCTCATTCCAATGGCTCTTTATTTATAGTGCCCCCTTCTCCCCTAACTTTGTAGGAATTAAGTGGTTTGATTTTTGACAACTTAAAAAAAAATTTTAAATAGGCACGCATAATCTGGAATCCCTGGAACTGCACCGATAGAGTGAGCATTAAACTATGTATAAGTATTTACTTTATCTGCAAGGGTATATAAGCTTCGGCTGGCCGAAGCCAGCTTCCTTTCTTGCTATAAATGACCTTCCTCAAGTTTTTTTCAACTCTTCCATCCTCATGTATGCTGACGATGCTAAAATCTGTTTTTCCTGTTCTGATTGGTACCTGCACAAGCGCATTTAGCTGGATCTTGATGAGTTCCAGAATTGGTGCCAAAATAATCTTCTTTTTTTGAAATTTTGAAATCTGTAAATTTATGACTTTTCACCGTTTCTCTCCGCATCTTGTCTCATATATTCTTGAAAATCATACCCTTGCAAGGGTCAAGTCCTTGATCGAATTCTGTGGCAAATGTCCTTGGTGTTCTTTCAATAAACATATTACAGCCATGGTAAGCAAGGCCAAGGGTATTTTTATCATTTATAAAACGATGGTCTACAAAATTTGATGACCCGTTTACTACCAAGACTCTTACGTATCTTTAGTCGTTCCCGAAACCATAAAGCCATGTCTGTCTGTTCGACTGCCTGTCTGTCCGTCTGTATGAACGCTGAGATCTCGGAAAAATTAAAAAGCAAGACAGTTGTGACTACATATTCTGACATATTCTTGGGTTTCCTATGCAGCGCAAGTTTATTTCAGCTGAGCGCCAAGCCCCCTTTAACGCCCACAAATAATTTTAAAATGTGTCTGGCGCCCACACTTTTAAAGATTTCGAATAAGTATAAATACAATTGTGTTGTGTAACTAACGAAATGTAGGAGACATTTTTCTAATCGGACCATTCGTTAAAAAGTTATGCCCCATTAAAATTGTATATCTCCGTCTCCCTTGCACTCCCTTTAGCATAGTAACGGGTATCTAATAGTCGGGACACCCGACTAAAGCGTTCTCCCTAGTTTTATTCTGAATGTTAAGCATCGCCTTAGGATCCTTAGGTCCGGATTGTTTTTGGCCAATGCTCCTAAACAAATTAACAACAATTAAAAACAAGAGAGAACGATATAGTCGGGTTGTTGTCCCGACTATCTAATACCCGTCACTCAGCTAAAGGGAGTGCGAACGCTGTGTCGGGTTGGTGTCCCGACTAATAATCGTAACTCAGTTAAAGGGAGTGCGAGGGAGATAGATATATAATTTTTGATTGCGTATAACTTTTTAATGAATCGTCCGATTTGAAAAATGTCTTCTACATTTCGATAGGTATAAATATACACAACAAAATTGCATTTATACTTTTCGGAAATCTTTAAAGATGTGGGCGCAGGACCCATTTTAAAATCGTTAGTGGGCGATTGTGGGCGTTAGAGGGGGCGTGGCGCTCGGCTAAAATAAACTTGCGCTGCGTAGGAAGCCCAAGAATATGCGTGGAAAATCTCAACCTTCTAGCTTTTGTAGTTTCTGAGATCTCAGCGTTCATACAGACGGACAGACGGACAGACGGACAGACGGACATGGCTAGATCGACTCGGCTAGTGACCCTGATCAAGAATATATATACTTTATGGGGTCGGAAACGCTTCCTTCTAGCTGTTACATACTTTTGCACGAATCTAGTATACCCTTTTACTCTACGAGTAACGGGTATAATGAGTTTTAATTGGATATTTTTATATTTACCTTTTAACACCTCATCCAGACCCTTGCGGGACTTAAGCGATTTTTTGCCCATGGTCCCGTCCAAATTAACCTCCATTAAAATAAATTCGGAGTCAACGTATTTAAACCGTTTAGATAGGGGTTCGTTTGCAATCAGTTTAGTCACTTTCTTTTTTGTGGAAAGATGAAATAAAAGAAAACATATTCATAAGTATTTTATGAGTAGAAAGAGAATATTGAAAAATAAATAAAAATGAAAACCAATATCTGCATATTGAATTTTAAAGTCCTAGGACATTTAAAATAAAATCCATTCAATCCAAAAGAAACCACATCGAAAACAAGAATAGCTTTTTTTGGTTTAGAAATAATTGAAACGTGCCTGGTAAGGTCGCCTTTGGCAAGAATTTTCTAGATTTTAGGGTAATTCTCAAATTGGTTAATGAGGGTACCATTTACAGTTTACATATATAATGTAATCACAGTTTTGACTAATCAAATCATTTGGCTCAAAACACGTACCGTGATATAAGGAAAGCTGTTACGAGTATCTAAAAATCAAGACACTTGACTATAGCGTTTTTCATTAAAACAAAGGGATAGAAAGTACATGTACATATATATCTGCATTTTTATAATGCGTTCCAAGATCCCGTGTAATGTATGCTTTTTAAAAATAAAGAAATGTGTAGATTATTGTACATCTAAAAATAATTTTGTGAGTACTTTTCTGGTTTGTGTACAAAATTATCTTTGAGCTGCATGTCATACGGAATATTTATGCTTGCTTTTTAATTTTGTTTATATATTTGTTTTTGTTTCATCGAAAACAGTTGCAGCGCTCGCAACGTGTATAGTTTGTAGATTTTTTTCGATGCTGCAACCAACACAAAGACATTGTTAATTCTTTGCTTTAAATCGTGACAATAGTTCTTATTTAACAACTCGATCAGTTCACATCTAACACTATTTGGATATTGGTATAAAAGTTAGGACCAAATCTAAAATAATTTTGTGTTACCAATATATATATTTAAAACATCTTTTAAAATATTTTCAAATATTATCATTTTAATTTGGAGATTAAGCACTAAAACCTGACAAAATGAGCGTGAGTTTATTTTTTAGTTCAATAAAATAAATAAAAAAGATAAAGTGAAAATAATCGAATTGGCAGAGCCGATCTTTTTCAAGCTTGAGCCATATTTTTTGCAAAAAAATCTCGACGTCTGGGAGAGCTTTCTTAATTATTTCCGTTACTCGTCGATCTAGACAGTCTGTTCGCCCTCTGTCTGTCCGTCTGCATAAACGCCGAGATCTCGGAAACTACAAAAGCTATACATTTGGGATTACCCACATATAATCTTCGGCTTCCCTCGCACTTCTTTTAGCTGAGTAACGGGTATCTGATAGTCGGGATACTCGACTAAAGCGTTCCTAGAAAAAAAAATTATTTTTGATTTTGAACAGTTAAAAAAAATATTTAAGACAGGGGCAGGTTTCTTCTATTTATAAACAAAATGTAAAAGCAGAATTATAGAGTAAAAAGGTATATTGTATTCGTGCAAAAACCTGTAACAGGTAGAAGGAAGGGTTTTCGACTCCATAAAGTATATGTATATATTCTTGATCAGGATCACTAGCCGAGACGATCTAGCTATGTTCGTCTGTTTTTACGCAAACTAGTCTCTTTTATTTATTATTAAATTTAATTATTAAATTATTAAATTTCCGAATTAAATTTTTTAAAAATCGGAACACTATATCATATAGCTGCCATAGGAACTGTCGGAATGGAGATTAAAAGGAAACAAATTACACCAGTCGGCACAATTATTTTGACAGATTTTAAAGTTAAAGTTAGAAAGAGCACTTCAATTCCGTTTAAATGACACAAAAATTTTCTTAAAATTAATAAAAATAAAAAATAAAATAAAATAAAATAAAAATAATAAAAATTAATAAATTAAAAAAAAGTAAATCTAGTAGTACGGCAATGAAAAAGTAGATTTTTTTTAAACTCGAGTACCTCGTAGAGTTTGCCTTGGCTATCATCTCCGATTTTTTTTAATTTGTTTTGGTGTCCAGTTAGGGGCGCTATGAATTTTTGAAGTTAAGAACTTAAAAAATCTTCTCAAACTTTAAATTAGTATATCTCGGGAACGGCTTAGGGGAACCAACTTTACACGATTTTAAATGTGTATTAGGGAAATAAGGAAAATATTTTTTTAAAATTTTTTAAATTTCCTATCGCGGTTTTGGGAGTTTTCTTCATTTTAGTGTTAGAGCCCTAAATCACGAAAATACCTCTAATTTTTTTTCGATAGCACAGTTTTTTTTTAAATTTGGCCCAAATCCATGCAAAATTGGATTTATGGTGGATTTTAAAAATTTCGGATTTTTCAACTTTTTTTGGTTGACAGAGTCCAAATTTTAAATTATTTAAATTATTCTACACATATATACACATATATGGCGCAGACAAAAATTTGTTTGAATAAAAGTGCAAGCCGCATTTTTGTTTACTGCGCGCGCTCAACCTGAATACGACTTCTTTACTTATATAAATAATCTAAACTAATATAAAATTGGAACTCTAAAAAACGGTCAGCAGCAAATTTCACCCAGAACGGACATAAAAATCTAAAAAAATCACATTAATTACTAAAGTAATAGTTAAATATATTTTTTTCCTGAGGGCGTTATGACACTTTCCTGTGTGTCATAAGGCCCTCAAAAAAAGTGACATAGCGCCTGCGGGCGTTATGACACTTTTGAGTGTGTCAGAAGACCCACGGGCCCTATGACTCTTTTGAGTGTGTCATAACGCCCGCGGGCGTTATGCACCCCTAAATATACACAACAAAATTGCATTTATACTTCTCGGAAATCTTTAAAGATGTGGGCGCAGGACACATTTTAAAATCGTTAGTGGGCGATTGTGGGCGTTAGAGGGGACGTGGCGCTCGGCTGAAATAAACTTGCGCTGCGTGGGATGCCCAAGAATATGTGTAGAAAATCTCAACTTTCTAGCTTTCGTAGTTTCCGAGATCTCAGCGTTCATACAGACAGACAGACGGACAGACGGACATGGCTAGATCGACTCGGCTAGTGACTACTAGTGATACTTTATGGGGTCGAAAACGCTTCCTTCTACCTGTTACATACTTTTGCACGAATACAATATACCCTTTTATTCTACGAGTAACAGGTATAACAAAAATACTGAAACAAAATATGTGTGGTAAAATGCAGTAATATCGAATTGCTTTCTTGATGCCTTTTCTTAAATTAGTCAAATACATAAAGCAAAACATTGCCTCTCATAAATATTGGTTTCCCTTATAAGAGTTGTCTATTGTGGATTCATTCCAAAAGCTCCCCGGTTAGCTAATTCGCCAAGAGTATTTGGTTTTTATTTACCTTTTCGTTACCTATAAAAAATATTCTCTCTAATTTCAAAATTATCATATTGGTTGTTGGAGAGTTTTCTTTTAGAGAGAGAGAGCTATCTTTTAACACTTTTTTGTTCCATTTTTTTTAAGAAAACAAGTTTGTTTTCTAGAAGACTTACACGCTTATCGATTGGGAATTTAACTACATGCTCAACCCCTATATGAAATTCTATACTCTGAAGTTTTGTCAATGAACTTTAACACCTACAGGACCGATCGCTCCCTGCGTAGGGGGGGTGGTGTTCTGATTGCCGTTACCTCTAGTTTAACATCGGAGAGGCTTAACATTCATATCCCTAACGATATTGAATTTGTTAGTGTCAAAGTTTCCATTCAATCCTTATCTATTTTTGTAACCTGCTCTTATATTCCTCCTGGCTCTGATTTAATAATTTATGAGCACCATCTGTCTGCTATAAAATCTGTTCAATCCTTTCTTTCCAACAGAGACCTTTTGATTGTTTTGGGTGACTTTAATCTCCCAAATATCTCTTGGTCTCTTCCAACTGACTCACTTGTCGCTACTCCTTTATCCGCCCATGATTTTGTGGATGGCCTTTTAGAATTATCGTTACAGCAAGTAAGCTTTATACGAAATTTATTAAATAGACAATTAGATCTTGTCTTTGTTTTAGATCCGCAAGAAGTCACTGTAGCTAGAATTGACGCACTTGTTGTACCTGAAGACCAATATCATCCAACTTTGGAATTGACAATTGGCCTCCCCTGTACTGATACCCTTTCTCCTTTAGTTCCTCAAACTAAAAGAAGATGCTTTCGTAAATGTGACTATAATAAACTAAACTACATGATTTCTCAATATAATTGGACTGATTTGTACAATTGCATGGATATTGACAGTGCAATTGAACTTTTCTATAGCGTTTTAAACACTTTTTTTGACGAATGCGTGCCTGACAGTCTTCCTCCGAAGCTAAACTGGCCTCCTTGGTTTAACAATGAGCTTCAAAGACTTAAAAATCTTAAATCCAACACTTATAAAAAGTATAAAAATACGGGTAAGCCATCTGATTTTGCGAAATATGTTGTGGCTCGTTCAGATTTTAATGTTCTCAACAGTCATTGCTATTCCATGTATTTAAATCGATGTAAATTCGAGTTTTCAAATGATCCGAAGCAGTTTTATAACTTCGTTAATGCCAAGCGTAAGTCTTCGGCATTGCCTTCATCGGTACGTTTAAACTCAAAAGAGGCATCGTCGGATTCTGAAATTGCGGATTTATTTGCCGAGTTTTTCCAAACTACTTATAGTTCGGCTGCTTGGTCAAACCCTACCTACCCTAACCACTTAAATAGGGCTAATTGTATTTTTACCCCTGTAATTACCGAAAGTTCTCTTTTAAAGGATTTAGCAACAACAACGCCAACGTATTCTCCCGGTCCTGATGGACTCCCTGGGAGTGTGCTTAAGTTTTGTGCTTCAACCATTTGTAAACCGATTCTTAAACTTTTTCATTTGTCTATTTCATCATCAGTTTTTCCAACTATCTGGAAGGACTCTTTCATTATTCCACTCCACAAAAAGGGTGCGAAGGCGGATGCCCAAAATTATAGAGGCATTTCTAAATTGTCGGCAATTCCTAAAGCATTTGAATGTATTATTACTTCTCATTTGCAGCATTTATGTTCCTCGCTAATATCACCGTGTCAGCATGGTTTTGTTAAGCGAAGATCGACCACCACCAACCTTCTTGAACTATCATCTATTGTAATAAATGGATATAAGAATAACATGCAGACTGACGTTATATATACCGATTTTAGTAAGGCCTTTGACTCTGTTAACCACTCTCTCCTTTTATTCAAATTAGATCAGCTTGGGTTCCCATGTAATCTATTAACTTGGATTTCAAGTTACTTGAATGGTAGGACTCAGAGGGTTATATTTAAGAGCGCTGTTTCTAAAATGATCAACGTGACATCTGGAGTTCCTCAAGGTAGTCATTTAGGCCCTTTGCTGTTTACTTTGTTTATTAACGATCTTCCCTCTATCGTAGCTTATTCTCGTGTACTAATGTACGCTGACGATGTTAAGCTTTGTTTATCATATAAAGATGTAGGGTCCGGTTTCAACTTACAGTCAGATATTGATTGTTTTCAGGGATGGTGTGAGTACAACCTTTTAAATCTGAACTGCCTTAAATGCAACGTTATGACTTTTTATAGGGGCACTCCTACGTTTGTTAGTTATTCTCTTCAAAATACACCACTCGACCGTATATATTCAATTAACGATTTAGGTGTTCTTCTCGACCCAAAACTTAAATTTGATTGCCACATAATGGCCACTGTCAATAAAGCTATGAGTGTTTTTGGGTTTATAAAGCGTTGGTCAAAGGAATTTGATGACCCTTATACAACCAGATTATTATTTACCTCCCTTGTCCGTCCTATTTTGGAATATTGTTCTTCAGTTTGGAGTCCACAATATCAAGTGCACATCGACCGTATTGAGTCGGTGCAAAAAAAATTTCTTCTTTATGCCCTTCGTAGTTTGAACTGGGATCAAAACGAAAGGCTACCTTCCTACCAGAGTAGATTACTATTGCTTAATTTACCTACACTTGAAAACCGTAGAATAATGCTTGGTACTATTTTTATGCAAAATCTTATAACAGGTGATATTGATTCCGTA